TTGAACTCGATGCTCCATACCAAGGTAACCATGAGTTTATTTACAATAAGATTACATATTATACTGTACTAACTTTTTCGTATTGCTGGGTTATCAGAACATTTGATCCGTGACACGGATTTAGAAAGTACCAAACCTATTACTAGCGAAATACTTGATGAAGTTATCGATCAAAATGCACCTGAGGTGCCAAAAGAAGAACAACCTAAACCTAAAGACACAAAAAGCTTTTTCAGTGGTCTTTACGAAGCAGCTGAACTTGAAGATAATATTGAAAAAGCCGTTGGGTTTAATAAAGATAAAGTTGATGATCATGAAAAAGCTGAAGCACTCGTTGTTGTTGAATCAGCCTCTCCAGAAAAATGCAAAGAAATCGTCTCAGGCCAAAAAGACGTTGGTTGTATTGAATTAAATGAAACAATTTGTAATGAACTGGATGTTCCTAAAGAAGAAATTATTGGTACAATTCAAAAGAAAATTACTAATAAGAAACTTCTATCACCTGAACTCTTATCAAGTCTTGCAACTGCAATTAATGTTTCATATCTAAAGAAAGCTGCATCTCAAAATGAAGGTGAATTGAAAGATAAATATAACAAAGCCCTTGGATATCTCAAAAAACAAATAGGCGATGAAATTGCCGAGAAAGAACTTTTAGAATGCACTGATGATTTTGTGGTTGAGAATTGTATTAAGAAGGTGATTAAAGATAAAAAAAGGAATGCAGTCGATACGGTACAGAAGTCTACCACACCTGAGAAATGCGATGACGTAGTGTCTAAGCAAAATAATGATGGATCTTTTGAAGTTAGCGAAACAATTTGTAAAGAAATAGATGTTCCAGTTACCAATGTAGTAACTGAAGTGAAAAAATACACACAAAATCCAAAACTTAGATCTCCAAAATCAGAACCATGGTGGAAGACAGCATTTGCTACTAGCTACCTTAATATTGCTGCACCACATCATAAAAAACAATGGGAAGATAAACATGATAAAGCTCGTAAATACCTTTCTGATCAAATTGGAGATGCTGATGCTGAAAAAGAATTATTAGATTGCACTGATAAATATATCATTGATAATATTGCCAAAAAGGTTGAAAAAGACCATAAGAAAGAAGCTGCAATTGCTGTTGTTCAAGAATCGGCTTCTCCTGAGAAACATAAAGAAATTGTATCTAAACAAAAAAACGATGGCAGCATTGAAATTGATGATTCAATATGTAAGGAATTGCAAGCTCCTAAAGAAGATATTATTACTACAATTAAAAAGAAAGTTACTAATAAGAAGCTTCAATCACCCGACCTTTTATCAAGTCTTGCAACTGCTATTAATATCTCATATTTGAAAAACGCTGCCTCCAAATACAAAGGTGATTGGGAAGATAAATATAATAAAGCTCGTGACTATCTTTCTAAGCAAATTGGAGATGCTGAGGCTGAAAAAGAATTATTAGATTGTGCTGACGAGTATGTAGTTGATAAAACTACAGATAAAGTGATTGCAGAAAAGAAACGAGATGTAATTGATCTTAAGAAAGATGAAATACCGAAAGAACAATCTAAAGCTAAAAGCTTTATCGGTAATCTTTATGATGAAGCTGTTAAACTTGAAGATCAAATTGAAAAAGCACTTGGATTTAATAAAGATGAAGAACTTGATGATCATGAAAAAGCAGAAGCACTCATAGTTGTTGAGGAATCAGCCTCACCTGAGAAATGCAATGAAGTCGTCGCGGATCAAAAAGATGATGGTTGTATTGAATTAAGCGACACAGTTTGTGATGAATTGGATGCTCCTAAAGAAGAAATTATTAAGACAATTCAACCAACACTTACAAATAATAAGCTCCAATTACCTAATCTTCTATCAATTCTTTCAACTGCAATTAACCTTTCATATCTAAAAAATACCGCGCCTAAACTTAAAGGTGTATGGGAAGATAAATATAATAAAGCCCGTAAATATCTCTCAGACCATATAGGAGATGAAGATGCCGAGAAAGAACTTTTGAAATGTGCGGACGATTATGTAATTGATAATTGTGCAAAGAAGATGATTAAAAATAAAAAGAGAAATGCAGTCATTATGGTGCAGGAGGTTGCTACACCAGAGAAGTGTGATGTTATAGTATCTAATCAAAAGAATGATGGGTCGTTTGAAGTTAGCGAAACAATTTGTGAAGAAATAGACGTTCCAGTTACCGATGTAGTAACTGAAGTGAAAGAATATACACAAAATCCAAAACTTAAATCTCCAGAATCAGAACCATGGTGGAAGACAGCACTCACTACTAGCTACTTTAATATCGCTGCACCACATAATAAAAATCAATGGGAAGATAAATCCAAGAAAGCTCGTAAATACCTTTCTGATCAAATTGGAGAACCTACTACTGAAGAAGAATTATTAGATTGCACTGATAAATATCTCGTCGATAATATTACTAAAAAATTTGAAAAAGATCATAAGAGAGAGGTTGCAATTGCTGCTATTCAAGAATCAGCTTCTCCCGATAAACATAAAGAAATTGTATCTAAACAAAAAGACGATGGTAGCATTAAACTAG